TGGAAACAAGAAATCTGTTAGGATGGTATGCCGAAGGTCGGGGTGAGACTGAATCAATTCTTTTATTCTAGAAACACTAACTATTAACTTATCTACATCTTCAAGTTCCTGGAGATTGCAACTTACTTTTTTCAGCAGTAAGGCAGAAAGGGAAACACAACTTTAAACCTACAATGACTAGAGCATTTTATCCTTTACATCCCATAATATAGTCTGAGGATTCCCGACCCTGTGATTCTGGAAAGTTGTAACGGGGGCTCCCTCAGGTAGATGGTTCCTAAGGATGCGACGGCACCAAACTTCGAATCTCTCGAACACAGCTCTTGTAAAAGTGTAAAGAATAAAAGTAAACGGTAAAACTTAATATCGTTAAGCTCAGGCTTATCTCAATTAAAGGCTCTCGAGAGGATGTTGATTCTGTCAGGGTAGGAGAGTTCTCGTATAATCTTTAAGTAGTCAGACTTATACTAAAAACTCCCCCATCAGGTTACCACGACCAACATGAGCATGCCCTTCTCCGTAAGGGTTGCCCCCAGCACCATTACGGTGCCCCTGAAAGGGTCTAAGGTGTCAGCGCACTCTAGTGGAAATCTCCCATATGCACATCAGTTCCTGTGAGGTGTTTACCAATACACCTGCCGGAGTGAAAACCTCTGCACATTGGTGTCTTGTCTGTGGCTAACTGTCAAGACGCCTAGGAAAGCTAACTAAATAACTCTTTTCCCATGTGCTATGACCTATGCAAGCTCCCGTAGACATCAGCTATCTTCCGGTTAAGTTCTCTCTTTCTTGATTGCAAACTTAGAAGGTCTACGACGCTCCTGCGGAGAGCTGCGGTAGTGGCAGGACCCGTGGGTGCTACCCATGGTCCCTTACCCCCAACACACCACTCACCATGATAAGTATCATGCTATTAGAGTCCTCAAACAACCCACAAAGAGCCTATGGCAAAGGGGCACGTGTAGGCTTGATTGGCGTAAAACCTTTCCTGATGTCTCTAGTACTACCTGGGACTACTCTGGGGACCCTTCTGGATACCTCACGCTAACTCCGTCAGTTTTGGTCCGTTTTACTCCATTCTTTTTGGAGAAGGTACCTGACCTTCTCACCTTGGCCCCCTTGTATATCCTGCGAACAGCTTCTGGTCAGACGGACGGCAGCGACGTATACAGTGTTGTGGACATGTCTTCATAAACTCCATTTAATTAGTAAGACAACAAGTCCACCCATTTTGGCCCATGACATCTGGGGTGAACCCTGGGGCCGCAGGTACCTGTTAGGAATAATTCTACCAAGTTACAGCTTGTTCGGAGCACTATAGCTCCTCTTGTAGCCTTCCGATCACAGTGCAAGCAAGTGCCCGTCGATCGTCATTGCATAACAAACAATCCTAACATTTCCCAGAATTCCTCCGAGAACATTTCCAACGGAAGGTAAGGTAAAAGTGTCCCAAAGGTAGGGTAAGTATGTCCATGATGACATGAAACTGGTCTCCATGGTAGGGTAACGTGACTTCCTCAGATAGGGTAAACTCACCCAGCCTTCTGAACTATCCTTAGCCCAGCGCGGACATTGTTACGTTACTACTATTACTTAGATACACCAATTCCTTAAGTACCTTCTGTTCTTAGGGATATCTGGACTATCAGATATCCCTCGGGTGTGCGTCTGGATACCTGCCTAGTCTACCATATTACCTCTTGGTCTTACGTATGCGTCTAGACTTAGGTTGCCATAGTTCTATAACATAGGGTCATTCCAAAAGTTGTGTCAAAACCAGTGACTATTCAAGAGATTCCCTCAAGGAACCAGATTTAGAGAAGATAAATACATTTCTGATTTCTCACTTCAAGGAACTACTAATTGTGTAATTTGCCATATCTTACCTCACCCCCATGAGCCACCGACTGCAGTAAAAGATTTCTTCTCATTTCTTATAATATTAGAGTATCAGCAGAGAGAACTGTACTAACCCACTCAGGTTTAGCTTGAGAGCTAAACAGAACTGGCAATACCACTTCATCAATAGAATTCAACAAGCCCAAAAGGCTCAGGCTAGAACCAGGCCAGGAGTACTTACTTTTTTTGGGAACTTCCTCCTCTAAACCTGGTGATCAGAAACCTGCTAGGGACGGTGAACTACCAGATAGTTTACCGTATAGGGCCAGTATGATACTTGAAAAACTCACAGCTGTAGGGCCAGCTCCAGTCTCTGCAAGCTCCCAGAAGAATATGATGCCTAGAGTAGTATAGGACCTAAATGGTTGTAAATGAGTGACCAGCACTCTTACAAGTGGGAATACCTCCTGGTGAGAGGGAGGTCTTTGAACTAAGAGTTGGGCCTGGAAAAGGGTCTGACACAGAAGTGAATAATTTTAGGTATGAAATTTTCTCAAACCCTCACTACATAACCTCCCCCCCCTCAATAAAAAGCTCCAAACACAATGCAAAAAGGGAATAACCAGCACACTCTTCTATCAGGAATGTCCATGCTCTTCTGAAATTTCCAGGTCCTGGAATTTTTGTCCAGTTTTGCTTGTTCACTTCCCTATCTAACGTACTTCCTAATCCAACATGTCATACAACTAGCAATTGTTAGAAGGCGAAGATGTAGACAAACCCCTAGAATCTCCAATTCCTGATCGCAAAATTCACAGCTAGTCCTCAGTACAACAGTATTGATTTCTTGTATATTTTTTACACTCATAACTAGATTCATACAGCAGGTAACATGTCGAAATACAGCACCCTCAATTTACCATACCATGAAACTTTGAGGGTTGATGTGCTATTACAAAGTAAAAACACTTATTAGCGTGTGCCTATAAATCTTAAGGCGTGGACTCTACAGGCACCCGCCCATGGCTCAAAGGAAACCGCTGTACCGGGACTGACCGCAAAAAGGTCCTGAATCCTCAGACTACGTATCAACACTTTTTCATTGAATATCTATACCATGCGCAATGATATATAAATAAAATTGATCTGCAATCCCGGAGATTGTATCCTCCCTGACAGGCGGTGCTCTGGATACTTTCGTGCCAAGGGTTCCCAATAAATTCTCAGAAAAACAAATCACACAATTCAGCGCCTGAGATGTTCGTTCAAGTATTTGAAGGTATTTTGCATCCTATTCTACATATTTATGGATATCTGCGAATAGCCACAGATATCTGATAAACATCCACAGAATGTTTTACCAACCACATTACTCATGCCAAAATCTTGCCAGGGGTTACCCCTGGTGTCTACCAAGCTTACGGGCTAACCCCCCCCCCTCCCACAGCGCCCGGTCTGGTCTCACTTCAACCCCTTTTTTTTTCTCTTTTTGTTTAACTCATATATTCTTTGTTAAGGTACAAGAACCTGCATGGAGCACTAGCTATGGCAAAAACAAAACCTTAATTCCAAACACATTCCCCTATGCCCCAGGGACCAAAACAACTCCCCCAAGACCCTCTGGTATGGGTCTAACCACACATCCCACCCGGCACAGGAACAATCGTCCTCTACAGGGAAGGCAGGAGAGGGAAGAAAACCATTCGGCATCATCTCAACAAAGGAAAGAATAGATTTGGAAACCCCCAAGTACCTCTACAGGGGTCCACGAATGAAGGTGTCCGCTGTCGGGCCCATGATAGGACCCTGGCGAGATGCCATGATGGGGCCAGCCAGCTCAGCCCAGGAGATAGTACAACACCAAAGTAGACCAACTGTTCCTTCGGCCGGGGGCAGGCCGCAAACGTGGAGGGAGGAAGACAGGCGAGAGATGCCAGTAACCTGTGATAGAGGATGGCAGCCGATACTGCTAGAGAGGAAGGGGGTAGACCCCAGCCGTAAGGAGTCTGGTTGTGGAAAAGGTTGGATGATGCCTGCAGTGATACCAGAGTCAGGAAAGAGTTATAGGTCTGCCGCGAGGGTGGCAGAAGTGAGAGCAGCACCAAGTGACACTGGCATGAAGGGGAGCTGGGAGGGGTAGGCAGAAGCACTACGACCTCAGTGACGATGGGGCCCAAAGGCCAAGGCAGTAGGGTGCCAGCCGATCTTGGCAGTAGCATGCTACCCAATTCTGGAGGGGAGGAGAGGAAGAGGGCAAGGTAGCAAAGATCCGGCCAAGCAATACAGTAGGAGGCTGCAACTAGGGTCACAGGAGTAGGCAAGGCTACTCCCAATAGCCCAGAGGACTACCACCCCAACTGACCATCTAGCCATCACCAAGCCGCCAAAGCCGACCGTGCTGATGCTAAGCAAGATGGAGCAAAAGTGGGGTAGAGAGGATAGAGACCTCACGATGAGGCCCCCAGGGTGAGGAAAGGACCCCCATCTAGCAGAGGCAAGATGCCAGATGAGGGAAGAAGTAGAAGAGAGGCCCCGATGGGCAGAGAGATGGAAAGAATCAGCCTGCACCCCCTGCAGGGGGGTGCAAGTCTAAAAAAAGTGGTGATAGTTCCTTGGTGTTGAGTCGTTCCCAATTAGGAAATATTTTTCAATGACCGGAGGTGTAGCGGAGACGGAGGATGGTCTCACTTCAACCCGGGCGGGCCTAACCATATATCTACAGGCCTCCTTCAAAAACCGCTTTTCAATATTCTAACCTTTTTGATTGCCATCTTTCGCGGTCCCAGATGGGCTCGAAGCCCAACCTTCTACCTCTACTTCTCCCACCCCTATGACATTTACCTCTCAGCTCACTTGATTGTTGGCTTATCCGTGCACCCTACCCATTTTCTTTTGGACCTTGTCCTCTAGTTTTCGGCCTCATTTTACTCCCGGGCGAAGGGTGGGGAAGGCGGGGGGGCGAGAAAATTAGTCCCTGAATTGTGTCTTAATCCATTCCGTTTTGCTTTCGTCGTCGTGTCTTGACGAAATCATCTGGTCGCCGGTCTGAGTTCAAGTCACTTTGTCCATCCGGTCATAGCACTATACGTCGCGAGTAGTCCAACAAGGTGATCCAGAGATAATAATCGAATAGTACGAGTGATTTCTTGTGAGAACAGGTTATAATCCATAGACTAGTTCTATTTCCCCCAAGGGCTAGCAACCTCGCTTTCCTAGTGTATTCTCTTTTTCTCTAATTGCACCGTACTCAGGTATCTTGATAAGTATACTTGTACAATAAGAGAATTCAATAACGCAATATTCGTGACTCATCATAACCTCGTTCCAGGTGTTACGGGGAACTCTAACTAAACTTTTGGCAACCGGGATGCTCCAACCTAACCAGGAATTGATATCCCATGACTCTAATATGCCGATAAAAGAAAAAAAGAATGGTGGTATAATGCAACGTTCAAAATAAGGACACCAAAAACAGAGTAAAACATCTTATCCCTTTGCCTCCCCCTCAAGTACAAATCTCCGATCCCCATTCTCCAGCGTCCGTAATCTAGCACGCCTCCAGCCAACCATATTCTGCAACTCTCTAGAGTCAACATCAACGCCCCGGACTAGATCTTGCATCTCACCGGACTGCGTTGTGGCCATGACTGTGGAAAAGTTTGTCTCGAGGCTAACTCCATTGGTGTGGTACGCCAGGATACCAACCAGGACAGCTCCCACCGTCACGAATACTGCAATGCCAGAGGCAAGCCAGAAGTTCCTCTCGTTAAAGAGGTACCTGTTTTCCTGCCGTGTGACGAGTACTTTGCTCCTTATCGGTTGTCCAAACTTATTGGAGCTAAGGAGGCTAAGGGTGATGTTCCGCGACAGCTCTTCTATCCCCCGGGCTAGTGATCCGGTGTACACGTCGTTCGGGATGTCGGATATATTCACGCTTGCGAAATCAGAACTGCCAATCAAGGTCGTCTCGAGTATTTTGGTATCCCATGACACGGGACTGAAGCCCCCGAATCCATCATAACGGTTCTTTGTGACGTTCCCAACGAGTATTTCACCCATAGCAGCGAAGACCGCGTAAGAAGATTTCCACTCCTTGGATGGACGAGGATTTATTGTGGGTTGTCCCAAGGGCGAGCAAGAAACGGGGCTTAAATGCTCCAACTTCCGGACCCCGAATTTCTGCACGGAATCCTGGAAAGAGATGTTCACTGCAAAAGACGTGTTGAAGAGTTCACAGGAGAAGGCCCGGCCGTAGTTCGGATCGTCGAGCTTCGTTTCCTGGGCGGTGCCGGCCATGCACCCACCTCCGTTTGGTCCGCAGATGCTGTATGTTTGGTTTTGAACGTCGATGGTGTCGTAGGCTAGGCCTACGAGTATGCTACATGTGTCGCCGATGATTTCGGGATCATATACTGCGGCGTACCGGATTCTTCCGGACTTGTCGTAGTCCATTGTCCGCTGGATTTCCCGCGTGGCTCGAAGGTCCGCAGTTTTGCACCGGAGAGAGGGCCCATGGAATTTGTGCACATAAGAACAATTTTGTCGCGGGGGCTTAATCGGGAGGATTTCACCGCTGGTAGCAGCTGCACTGGCGATCCTGGACAAGAATGCGCTTGGTCCTATTGTTGCGCCAGCGATTGCCTCGGGGGCGTTCGTCTTCCGAGTCTTGTCTTGGAGGATACTAAGTGTTAGTTCTGTTACAAAGCCTATGGGATCGCTGAAGTTTGTGGAGGGGATAAGCAATGAAGTGTTGAACTGTCGCTGGACAAGGCTCACGGAGAGTGAGCCGGGGGTTATAATCGCCGATATAGGGATACACCTACAGTAGTCATCCTCATTAGCAATCCCATAAGAACCCCCATGGAAGGGAAGAAAAATACCAAGCCAGTAAGGCAAGCGTACTAGCAACTTTTGCCCTCCTCAGCATATCCCAATTCCAAAACGAGGTAAGGTCCGTCGTCGCAACAAACATCGCGTCAATCCCATCCAGAGTGATAGCCCTCTTTCGCACGGTGCCCCATGCATTCTGCTTGTGAGCGACGACGACAGCGCCAGCTAGCGACGCCTTCGATAGAAATGCGAATGCAGTGCCCGCTCGTATAATGTACTCTTGTTCCAATTTCCCCCTAACCACGCGGTCCTGCCAGTGCTTGTAAAATAAGAAGTGGCCTACGGTGAAGGCCATCCCGAGAAGGAATAGTCCTACCATCATGACTATTGGGGAGATGGTACATAGTGCTTGCATCCAGTGCTCTTTAGGGGCATGTTTGATGGGGGAGTCACTGGTTCCCTCCGAACCTGAGGATCCGCGAATTGCAGGGCCGGTAGGGCGAGTTGGGAGCAGTCTCGCAGGGGCGGAAGTTCGCTCATAGATATTTCCCTGCGGTGGGCCGGTGAGGGAGTGGTGCGGATCTGATCTCGAGTTCCCATCTTCATTCTCGGAAGACAGGCTTGAATTGCTAGGGTGCCGTCGTAGCGGATTGTACGCTAGACCCTGGGTAGGTCTTCCGGTTCGGTTGTGGTTACTGCCGTTTCTGAGGCCAATGCCAGAACCACCCTCTCCGGAGGACGAAGGTAACGCCGTGTCGCCCATCCTGTGTTGGTGAGAAGACATGAAGGGTCGGGGCTGGCCCCGGATGGAATATGACAATGTAAGGCACTAATACCCCCCCCCCTCTTCTCTTCCGCAGGTCGTATCGGGGGGAATATATATTCCAGACACCTGAGTTATAATATTCAAGGGCTATTTGCTATTTTATCCTGATGGGTGGCGTGTCAACTACTATTCCCAACAGCACCCCGCTGATCCTCGGTCGTAGACGTGCAGAAGAGTTTCTCATGTCATAGCCGCGTTTCACCACAGCCAGTGCTTCTCCTGTGTTGCAGCGAGGGCTTACTGCAAGGCGTTCGGCTCGCAGAATCCTTACCCCAAATGGTCGGAGAGCCGCCTCTCAAGCAACCTAGTGCTGACCCAATGACTACCGTACAGCGTATTATTCGGCACTCGTATTCCCAGGTTTCCACCAACCAACCTTCCACTCCTGCAAGGAAGCAAATATCATTGCACAACCATCTAATGAGGGTCCTGCAGCTGCTGGCGAATCACTACAATCACCAGTAGAAAATCCAAACCGGCCACTTTATTAGAGCCTAATTATAGCATGATAGCTCAGGTAGAGAAAGGGATCTGCAGTGTTCGTGGAAGCACTGTACCCGTACAGTACAGTACTTCAATTCCCTGTTTGCACGGCAAGCCGGGCAGCCCTTGCAAAAAACGGTTTCACCGTCATTCTAGGTGAATGAAATTATACATGTTAAACCGGATAAATACGAGCAAGAAATGGTTTTTCATGGGATAGCACTGCGCAGCAGTTCGTCTCTCCCCGTTTCGTGCATTGTTGAAATAGAGTTCAATGTATCGAACGTTGTGGCTTAAGCCCAGTCGACCAATTAGATACAGGTTATGGGGTTTCTAAAAATTTCAACCCGAGCCCCCCCAGAGGTAGTATCATGGTTCAGATTTTGGAAACGTGTAAATTCGGAGTTGACTGTTGATTGTGGCTGGAGAATATGCCAAGACCACTTCTAAAGCCCTTCCAGATCCTGCCGGGAGTTCTCCAGTTCACTACATCAGGAGCTTTCATAATAGTGTAATCCTATCTCTCTCTCTCTCGTAGTTCTCAGCTCTCCCAGTGATCCTCAGGCAACTGGGCAGAGAAGGCACCAGAGTGCAAGCAGCCCACGAATAGAAACCAGACCGGGGTGGGCCAGACATGAAGCGAATGAGTCGAAAAGCACAAAAAGAAAAAGGAAAAATTCAGAGCAGTACAAGTACTGGTAGGCAGTGTTGGCACCACAGGAACATAATGTTATACCAGGTTCACCCTCTCTTTGGCCAAACTCAGAGGCTCGGGCTTTATGAAACTTCTGCAGCGGGGATTCGAGCATAGCCTACTCGCAAACCAATTCACTCCTACTGGCACTCCCGACTCCAATACCCTAGGTTCTCGAGTATATCCCGCACTACGCGATTCAAGCTATCGGCACGAGCAAACTACTGTACGATGCCGTATCATACCCTATCATGATCACTAACCCTGTCTAAGGCAGGATCACTGTACCCAACCTGCCAAACTGCTTCCCGCCCCCTCTCACACCCACAAATCCCTACCATTAGCCTCATCGCCACTGCACCACTAACCTGGAGAGGGGCAACTTGTCCCGGGACCTCTAGTTTTTTCATTTTAACGAGGAGGGAGAGAGTGCCAGCGAAGCAATAACATTCTACTCTGAAAGAAAATTTCAACGCCATAAATTTCTCTTCTCCAGGGTTACGGGGTATAATACCTAATGGTATCAAGAGCTGAGCCATATATCCCCCAGAACAATAACTCCCCAACTCAAAAAAATCCGC